TGATGCGCCGCAGGCTCAACAACTTTTCCCCTGAAGCTTTCTGTGCACTGGCTTCAGTGGAAGTTATTATGCTAAGATTTCAAAACAAAACCAGAACAGTCCAACATGGATTTATTTCTTGCCGGGGTCTGCTACCCAAGATTAGAACAGCTGTGAAAAAGAAAGAGAACTCAGAATTCGGTAGCTGATGAACATCACTAGAGAAACATCTCAAGAGAAGCAATGGATTTTCCTACTTATGGAAGCCCTGCTGGGGCAGCCATATTGGCTGCTGTAGGCAGAGGGATGATTACAGCCTGCAGTGGAGTGGCCCCCTCCCTGGGCCACAGAGCCTTGGAATCAGAAAAAAAAAAAAAAAAAACTAGGAGGAAACTTAGAAGTCATCACTTCAACACCATGACTTTACCAGATGAGGCACCTGAAGCCCACAGAAGGAAATAACTTGTCCAGGGCAAACTAGTAAGTCAGTGGCCAAGCCAGTGGCCAAGCTCCAGGGCCCTAGGGAATGCACTAGGAGACTCAGTAATAAGGAGGGCTCTCCACTCTGGCAGAAACACACCTCCGACCCTAATGACTGACTGCTGTTTTAAAGGGATCATCTGATCTACACCACAAAAGAGGGTGGAGGCAAAATGAGAGTTCGGGCTGAGGCCCTAATTAGTGCAGCTCCTTGGTTCTACCCTCTGGGCATAGTTACACTGATTACAAATGGAAACAGGTCTCTGGGGCTAGCCAGAGAATGTCCTTCCTGGCCCCCACACACCAAAATATGTATTCTGGAAAATCATTGATAAATATAAAAATGTGACTGACTTAAAGAAAGGGGTTGTGGTGAGTCCCATAATTTCCCATAATACATCTGGTTCATAACAAACTGAGAAATGTTTTGGTCTAGTATATAAATTCAGCTTTTTTTTTTAATGGCGTTAGAGACTGAATCCAGGGCCTTTGCACTGAACTACATCCCTAGCCCATTTTTCACTTTGAGAAAGGGTCTCACTGAGTTGCTCAGGCAGGACTTAAACTTGTGATCCTCCTGATTCAGCCTCCCAGAGTGCGTGGATTACAGATGTGCATCACCATGCCCTGCTGCTTCTTTTTAAGTGTACTCCTGGCTGATCCCCAGATACTGTTCCCATAGGCTTCTTGCTTTTTCTAAAACAAATAAGACAAAATGTCTGACAAGTGTCTCCTACTTAGGGCTGTCCTCCAGTGATCTTTCTAAAAACACAAATCAAGAGCTGATTGTGGTGGGGCATGCCTATAATCCAAGCACTCTGGGAGGCTAAGGCAGGAGGACCCTGGGTTTGAGCCTAACTTGGTCAATGAAACAACTTGGCAATATCCTGTCTCAAAACAAAAATATATATATTTTTAAAAGGAGTTAGGATGTAGCTCAGTGCAAAGGCCCTGGTTTCAGTCTCCAGTCCAAAAAACAAACAAAATAAGAACAAAACTTCAGTGGCTTCCTGTTGCTCACAGAATAGTTCAAATAATGTAGCCTTTTCAATCCACCTCGATTTGGATCCTTCCTGCCTTACCTTCATCACGGTCACACATGCACTCAAACGGCCCCAACAGTGTTCACTGTCTGGCCCCTCACACCATGGAGGCTGCTTGCTCCTGCATTCGTGGAAACTTTGTCCAAACTGACCCCTCTACCATAGTTCTAGCCAGACTACCCTGTAGACTATCCACGTTGTTCCAAGAAACCTTCAGATCCTTCTATTTGGAGTTTTTCTCTCTCTTTCTTCTATTCCCATGATGTTTTACTATGCCTTTATTTGAGCCCTTTCAACTTTCCGCCAAGCATCTAGTTGGTTTGTCTCTTGGTCTATTGCCCTTGCCAGAGTGTAGGATTCCTGGAGGCAAACGCTAAATCTTTTTTCTAACTTTCTGGTTCAGTTCTTGGAACATCATAGGCTAGCACTGTTTGTTGAATTAAATTGGATCATATTTCCCCTGTCCGTGAATGGACAGAGGAAATATTTATCGTTGACCAAAATCCTATTTCCTCTACCTCCCTTACTGCTTCCTTGTTATACTAAACTGTCCGCTTCATCTCTAATCCTCATGACGGTGGCCCAGGCCCAGAGTGTGGCTTTGCTGGCATTCTCATCAGTCTATGGCACAGGAGCCTGACTGGGCTTGGGTGATAAACTTTTGCTGCTGCTGGATTGAGAACCTTAGGCCATCTATACCCACACTTTAGGGAGCACAGGATAGATCACTCTGAATACTCTGGGTGCCCTTCAGTGGTGGAAGACTTGGCTGAACTTTGGGCCTAGAGTGTCCAATTGCCTTGGCTGTTATTGTTGATTTCCTCAGGGAAACCGACCTGATATGATAATTCCCCTTCACAGACCCAATGCCAGCATTCTTTTCATGATTTCACAAAGTTTAACAAGGCTACTTAATCAAGTCTTACTTAATCAAGGTCAATTTTATGTTGGAAACACTGGCTTTTCTCATGTTTTTTGGAAGTTCTCTTTGGCAGTATATATTTCACTACTTGAGCTTTCTTGTTTCAAATAAGAATCTATTACTACTTAGTCATTGCAGTCAATTTGGTACATAGTGAAAGGAATTATAATACCTACTCCAAAATGTGGTGGAGCGGTTGAGTTAAATGAGATAATCCATATAAAATGTTATGGAATTATACCTGGAATACATTGCAGAGTCAATAATTAGAGATCATTACTATGATTTCCAAACATAGAGTCCAAGAGATAGAAATAACAAAAAATGACTGGACTTAACAGAACTACTGGGTTTATCATAACTGCTGTAGTGAACACACCTGTTTTGTGTCAGTGAATTGTTTGAAGGACAAAATAAAGAGAAGGGGAGCTGGGTGGTTAATGTTACTAGATGTTGTTTCATCTTGATCTTGGGCAAGGAGCATCATCCGGAGGCCACGCTGAGAGTGCTCTCATGCAGGTCAGCCCTAAAAATACTCCTCTTCACTTTAGTGGAGAAGCTGCTGTGAGACTCGGGGTTGGCTTTCAACAGATCCAGCCATATGTGCTCTCCATTTTAGTGAAATCCGATCGCACCTAAGCCTGTGCTATCCTTGTGGGCTGACAGCTGACCTCAGCCTTCTTGTGGGCCCCTAGTTCACCTTTCAGAGAAAGAGGTCTGATTTCCAAGGAGAGCATTGCTCTTTGTTCTTTTTCTCTTTTTTGGTTGCTTGTTTATATGTATTTATTTGAAGAGGATCTATATTACAGTCTGCTAACTTGCTCTTCCCTTGTTAAGAACGTTTCTGGAAAACTTGATTTGAATTATCATCAGCACTCAGGAAGAAAAAGCTTTCTGGCTTGAGAGGCATAAAATGTAATCAGATCCATATATATGTATTAAAAGTTAAGACATCATTTCTTTGTACAGCAACAAAAAAGAATTATAATTAATTACAAAATAGAAAAATATTTGTATGCATTATAGGCAGATGATTCACTATAATATGTATTCTTCAAATTAATACAAGGCAGAGGATATGAACTGTTATGCATTGGAAAATAAAAGTAGTAAATCAAAACAGAAAAAGTTGATCTGTACTAGTATTCAAATACATACAAATTGAAGAAGCCTGGAGGTATGATCTAAAATATCCTTTTTTCTTTTTGCCTCCAGTAGAAGCACAGCAAAATCAGTTCCCCCATCATTCCTGGTGGCTCACAGCCTTTTTAGGAAGTGGGATTGCGGTCTGTGAAGTCAGACCCCCTGGCTTTGATCACCTTGACTTTGCTGCCTGCCCTAGCCAATGCCAGCCTCAGAGCAAGCCTGGTCCCAGCTCTGCTCCGAACACATCCTGAACCAGCTGAGTCCCCACACTTGTTTCCTGTGACTTACTGCATGTTTCATGCCCTGTAAGAGGAGCTCTTCCTTCCCCTTCCTTCCTTCCCTCTGTAGAATCCCAGTCATTTCCTCTGGGCTGGTTGCTGTGCATCTCGGTGTCCCAAAAGATCTTTTCAGCGCCCTTGGCCACAGGACGGTTGGCTGGCTGGCAGGGTTGCTCGCATCACAACACCTTCACAAGATATTGAAATACAAACGTTGACAACAGCATCTACAGAAAGCCAAGGGAGTAGATTGATGTCTAAGCCTGGTAAAGCAAATCTGAGAAGAACTGAGCCCTGGGCCAGAGCCAATGATCTTGAATTTTCCAATAAACCATTGTCTTTAGATTTGCCTTTTGGGAGGCTTTTGCATCAGGCCAAGCTGAAGACATCCAGTTTCTTTTCAGAATCGTGAATTTATAAATGATAGGCAGTCAAAAAATGAAAGACGCTTACCCACTAGTCTCTTCTTAGACCTAATTTTCTTGGTACTAGTTTAAATCCTATGCATGAGGTCAGTTTGACTGTGTGTGTGTGTGTGTGTGTGTGTGTGTGTGTGTGTGTGTGTGTGTGTGTGTTTCAGGAGCAATAGAAAGACCTAATAGATAAAAGAGTTACGTGGGAAAAATAAAACAACTTTCAACAGAAAATGACTCTTATCTTCAACTCTAATTAAAACAAAGCTCTCAGGATAAGGAAATCTATATGGGGCACTGGGCTCAGCCAAGTACACAGGGAGCCCACAACACTCCCACCTCAGCCGACACTCAAGGACACATGCATGGTCACCCACACATAACATTTTGATACCAGTAAGATCTGGTGAAAATGACCTTCACTTCAAGCACATCCTGGCCTAAAAGGACATGTTGCTGATGTGTACCCTGGGTGTGGGTGGAGCAGAGGAGAGGGCAGGCCTGCTCCTCCTTCCTGCTATGGTCTCTGGAAGGAGCACTTTTGCCCATCTCCTTCCATGTCCCCCCACCCCGTATCCTTCTCCTCCTCCTTCCTGTCTCTTTGTACCCTTCCCTCTCAAGAAAGGAAAATCAAAGCTGGGACTTCCCAATAGCTAAGGCAAGTGCTTCAGCTGTGAATCGTGTACACCTGATTCTGTTGTGTTATCCCACATTTCAAATCCTTCTCTTTTCTTGGCAGAACTGGCTTATGATCTGGATATGGATGAAGATCCTGGGAGCAAGCAACATGTGAACCAGCAGGACAATGAGGTCATCATTTCTCACAATCTTGGGAATGCACACTCCCCACTGAAGCTCCTCACCAGCATGGCCATCTCTGTGGCGTGCTTTTTCTTCCTAGTGCACTGACTTCCCAGTGCCCAGCATGCATGCTGCCCTGCAGCACCCTGTGGTCCTCCTCCGCAAAGGAAGCCACCTTATTTTTCCTTTTTTTTTTATCTTATATACCTCCTCCAGCCATTAAGTAGAAGACTAACCATGTGTTATGTTTTCGAAATCAAATGGTATCTTTACGAGGAAAGTAAATTTTAGTAGTAGTATAGATTGTCATTTTGCAAAGAAAAAAAACCCATCAAGTTGTGCCAAATTATTTTCCTATGTTTGGCTGCTAATTGTTACCGTATCTCTCTCTTTCTCTCTTTCACTGTCTCGTTCGCCTGCCCTCCCTCTCTCTTTCTCATTCCCTCTTTCTCTTTCTCTGCATGGATTTCTTCGGGAAAAAATAAATATTCAAATAAAAATGTATGGAGTCTTTCTTTGTAAACCATTCTCTTCCTCTCTCTCTCTCTCTCTCTCTCTCTCTCTCTCTCTCTCTCTCTCTCTCTCTCCCCTCTCCCCCTCTCCTCTCTCTCTCTCTCTCTCTCTCCTTCTCCCTCTTACTCTCGACCTTCTATTCAGGATAATCCCATCAGGCCCCACCTGGATCCTTGAAACCCACCTCTCTGCCTGTGTTATGCGTGAGTATCAATCCCGGCCCCAAGCCTTAGTCAAAGCTACTTTCCATCCCACACACCCAATCCACAATCTCCATCTAGAAACCTTAGTTGGAGTTTCTTGCCTGTAAGGCCAAAGGTATCACAAAAAAATTCACGATCTAGGCTTTCTTTATAAATTTCACTTGCTACAAATGTTTTGCCTGAATAGAAAATCCTCTATGTGGGCCATGTCCAAGTTGCACGATTAATATTCTCCCTTCCCCCAGCCAGAGAGGTGGGCATAAACAGAACAAGGAAATAATTCCCCATGCTTCCCTGCTGCTTCTGCTGCTGCTGCCTTGGGCTTGTTCTCTGTCACTTCTCTCCAGGGGCTGCCACAGGGCAGAGCCAGCAGTTGCCCTGGGTAAGTTTGCAAAGGTGGTCATCAGCAAACGCTGTAAGAAGTAACTCTCACTCTTGGCCTCAGGTAGGCTTCTTCAGCGTTCACTTATTCAGCAGCTGGGTTTTGTGTACCTACTAGGTTCCAGGTGCTGTACCAGATGCTGGAGACAGTGACAAACCAAACGGATTTGATCACTGTTCTCATAGATCTGAATGAAGGTCTGGCACCAATTTTAATTCCAATGTTGGCTTTCCATCAACCATATCCCAGTAATATCAGTAAATTCTGTTTTTTGTACATACAGCATCACAAGTAATTATGGCACTCATGTTGACACTTGGACATTCTGCTGCCAAGGAATTGTCATTTATTCTTTATATAATGCTCAGCACATTGCCTTTTTGCAGGATCAGACTAGTAGAGGCATCCTTGATTCCTTCTAAAAGATGACAACTCCCACTTCATCACTTCATCAGTATAAGAGTGAGATGCAGGGAAGGGGCATGAACAAACGTCAAGGAAGGGATAGGAAGTCCCCCTTGGTTCTAAGAGATGGCCCCAATCAGAATCTCTGGTTTTGGTCCAGTGAAACAGGGTAACTTTGTGGAAAGCAAAAGGTGTAATTTCTCACAACTTATCATTTCCCCTCTTACTGTTATTAACACAACTTCTGTTGGTTTCCTGCAGATTATAGGTATCCATTATCCATTGTTGTCTTTTGAAGAAGTGGCCACACACAGAAATTGGAAGTGTTGGTTTAACTTTCCTTCAGTTGGTTTTGTTGAAACTGAGGCCACGATTAGTTGCATTTGTTAACATGACTTTCATGATTTGTAATATTTGGTAAGACCAAAAGCTAAAGAAGCCAGTTGTCATTGTCTTTAAACCATAATTATTTCTGTATTTGAATGAGGTTAATAAGAGCCTTTGGTCTTTGGTTTTTGAAACCTACACACTGGAAAGCTTTGCTCCTTGGACTCAAGTCTGAGATTCTAGCAACACCAAACCAAAAGGATTTAAAACCCAGTTACCTAATAACTGCCCCTGTCATTCCACAAACAAGTTTTTATTTAACCTGGTAAAAATAATTTGCAGCTCTGTGACCATGTTTTGTTTCAGCAAGCAAGAGAGAACAGTTTTAAAGTCCCTTCCTCCACCCCTGAAGGTGAAGAGAATTGTTCATTTTAACATACACTTGTCAGCCACTTTTCCTCTTCAGACCCATTTTCCCTAATATAAAGAGGAGAATTAGTACAAGATTTTTATGTCTTTGTTGTTCAAGTTTTGTGGCACCATTGGCCCTAAAAGGAAGTAAATATTGGTTCCTCTGCCCAGTGCTGGTGTCATGAATGTTCTGTTCCCCCAACACCCCTTAGGACTCTGTGAATACTGAGGTCATATTTGACATGCTTCAGTTCCCAGTACCTGACCAGGTATCTTAGTTACTTTTCCTGTTGCTGAGCTAAAATCCCCAACACAGAAAGTTAAAGGACAAAAGGTTTATTGTAGCTCATAGTTTGTAGAGGTTTTAGTTCATAATTGGCTGGCTGCAAGGCAGGGTGTCATGGCAGAGGGGCATCACAGAGTAGAAACCATTCATGGTGGGCAGAAGGCAACAGCAGTGAAGCAGCAGCAGCCTGCCTCTCTTATTTCTTCCAAGCTACCCACCCTTTGGGTGGTGCCATCCACATCCAGGGTAGGCCTTCCCTTTAGCCACACCCACAACTATGACAAACCGAACAGTAGACTAATTTAATAATCACATACCCTTAATCCCAGTATCACACACCAAATCCCAGCATCATACACTTAATCTCAGCATCACACACCCTAGATCCAGCCACCTCTGAAAAGCTCCACCTGTGACCACATGAGGGTTTGAGGGGACATCTAGGCACAAGCTATAACACAAGGGCAGCCAGTGTCTATTTTATTTCATTTTCTGGTGCTGGGGTGGAACCCAGGGACTTGCCTATGTAAGGTAAGCACTCTACCATGTACCTACGCCCCAGCCTAGCAGCCATTTTTTCTGCCATCTTTACACAATCCCAGTGAAGATCCATCCAGGCTGAGTGATGAGTTGAGAGACAACTAACCTGCAATGACCATAGCCTGGTGTCTTCAGTTACATCAATGGGATTAAAATAGATAACCACAGACATTTACAAAACATGACAAATCTACCATCTCCTATTGGTGTTTACTATTTTGTCAATAGCCTATCTCTTAGCTTTTTGTTGATGCTTTTTTCTATTCCCTTACACTTTTTTTTTTTTTTTTTTTTGCTCTAGTTCGGAATCCAGTTTCACAGCTAGTTAGTGGCTTTTCGTCTTTGAAGTGTTTATTCTACCCTTTGATTTAAGCTTTGTACACTTGAATTATGTTAAAATGACTATTTTGTTGTTAGAAGAAACCTGGCAGCTGGGAAGTTACCCCATGTTCTTGGAAGTTTCAAGACCTCTTTCTCATTGGATGCCCATGTGAATTCCCAGTGGCTCAATTCTGATACTTGAATAACAGATTTTGAATCCCTAGACTGAAAAAGATGCTATAGCTCATCCCACAATCTTTTCTTGATCACCTCATAAGGCAAGGCTCTCACTGGGTCACAAAGTAACCAGTTTGGTTACTAGACACCTCTAGTTTTTAGCAGATTTCTTCTATGGGGGGGGGGTACTACAAAGAAATATGTGAAATAAAAATTCTAATTTATTGTTATATAAAATTTTAAAATGACATTTGCCCCATAATTCTACACCCCATTGCCATAGTTTGAATGTTGAATGTTCTCCAGAGATCCATGTGTTAAAAGCTCCATCTCCAGGTTAGAGCTATTGGGAGGAGTTGGAATCTTCAGAGAGGTAAAGCCTAGTGGGAGGTCCTTAGGTCATTGGGCACTTGCCCTTGAAGGGAACTGTGGAATGTCAGCCCCTCCTCACTTTTTCTCATCCCAGCCTTGAGGGGAATAGTTTCGCTCTGTTGTAGGCTCCCACTGTGATGGGCTGTCCAGTATGATGGCCCAAAACAGTGGAGCCAATTGACCATGAACTGATACTTCTCAAACAGCCAAACTAACCCTCTTCTTTTTGTGGGCTACCTATCTCAGGTGTTTTTGCTACAGTGATGGAAAGCTAGCACATCCATAGATAGTGACTATTAAATTTTTTCAGTACTGGGGATCAAATCCAGGGCTTTGCACATGCTAGCCAAGCATTCTACCGATTCCCAGCCCCTACTATTAAATATATGAATTATATACTTCCAATCATTTTTCTCTTCCTCTCTGCATATGTGTATTCACACATGAGATTATTCTTAACATACATTTCTATGATAGGAACCAATCTTTATTAGGTTGAGCTAAATCTGCCTGTCATTTCCACCCATTGGTCTTCCATGAAGAGCAACCTAAGATTAAGATGACCTCACTCTTCACACAGATATCTTTCAACAATAAATTTTAATCACTGTGTCTCTTCTGGGTTGTTTACATTTTGTAACACATCTTCCCATGTTGGTAAGCTCCTTCAGCCTATCCCATGCTCCAGAAGGTCAGGGGTCCTCTTGTGTTGTGAGACTATGAGCCCGTGGTGCAAGGGGAGCCTGAGTAGAGTGGACATTGGGTCATTAGGTTCCCATGGAAGCCCTGGACCTCCAGCAGAGCAGTGCAAAAGTGCACATGCTTACTGAGCTGCCACATTACACTCCTAATGCATGACAAGCTTGGGGCCGAGACTCTCAGATGCTTTCACAAGAACATCTGCCAAACCAGGTCTTTTCCATCCCACACTTGTACAATTGATTTTTGAAAACTAAATTCCAAGACTTTGTACTTGTCTACATATTGTGCCAGATACTATACACTGTATGTGAGTGTGTGTGTGTTGTGTGTGTGTACATATTGGGATACAGATTTTTTTCTTGCCCAAGTCATGGCATATTTGGAAGTCCTCTTTTGGAGTTGCTATTCAGTGTATGTGCCATACAAGAAAATCAGCCTCATTTCTTTATACTCACACCTTGTTTGGAACCAAAGTAATATTCTTCAGCTTGATCATCCATCTCATTCACTAGTGTTGCTGCCAAGCAGCTTTTAGCTGTTTCCAAAAATGAAATCTGCTGTCAAAAACAAAGCCTTTCCCCTAAAGAGTCCAAATAATGTGCTATGGGTAATGGAAGTTTTTTTTTTCAAAGGAAAAGTTTCAGTAAGTTTGAGGACACTTTCCTTGACATGATGATTCCCTCCCAAA